AAAAAAAAAAAAAAAAAAAAAAAAAAGGTTTCTCCTATTTTGTTAACAGTGGTATATTAAAACTTTAAAGGGGTTCTGCCTTTATGTTATAATGAGGCTTATTTATCATTCAAAAATGGGAAAAGGGTCCTTTGAATTGTGCAAGTTATTATCTGATACTATTGTTAAATGGTAAGATTTTGACAATTTTTACAGAAGGTACAGCCTTCAAAAATTCATCCTGTACAATCTGGTTTAATGAAAGAATGTCAAGCCTCTGATAACATTAGATTACTGGTAACTATTAACAAAGCACTGTATTCTGAAAATAATGAAATAGCCTATTGGCTTTGAAGGACTTTCATATGATGTTCTGTCAACATGCAATTGTTCTTTCTGCAGACTCAGAGACAATAAATGCATATCAAAATTTTACTCCTGCCTTAAAGTTTAATATCTCATTCAGTCACTGGAATTCCCTGATAATAAATAGGTAACTTTATTTTGGTCTATCATCAGTTTCAAATAGAAAGATATAAGATCTAGCTGTAGAGAAATAACATACTTAAGTATAAATAAAATAATGCAACATTATACTCTATTAAAGGAGAGTCAGTTTGATGTAGTGGTTAAGGCCAACTAGAAAACAGGAGACCCTGAATTCTAGTCCCACTTTAGGCAAAAAGCCAACTGGATGATCTTGGGCTAATCACTCCCTCTCAGTCTTAGGAATCCTTTATGAAAAAATTCAACAGCAGAATACTATTATAAATAATGCTAATGTTTCTGGTTTGTTACACATAACCCTATGCAAATATTTCAGACATAACAAAATGCCAGCATAGTGAAACATAACCATATCAGCCGATATTTTTTCTTAAAGTAATAACCTGTTTATTTTCAATGAACAATAATATAAATTCAGTTAAATCTGCTATTTACATGGAAAGTTTAATATTAATTCAACTTTCTTCAAAATACAATTAATTACTTACAGCAGAAGCCAATCAACATTTGGTCCATTGTGTTTCTGAATGTTAAAGAGATGTCTATACACTTTCATATTCTGTAGTCTATATAGTTATTTTTTACTGTTCCCCTCTTTATATGTATTGGCATATTGTAATAAGTTTATTTATAGGCATTAACTAAACTAGGTATCAGCTAATATAGCAATGATTTACCTTCATGACTCTATAACACTTCTAACGAGGATACTATATTAACATCATGAATCATTCAATGTAATAGCATGAACTAAATGTTCTATTTAAAAACAAAAATTATGCCATTCCATTCTAAGAAATTTAAGTAAATTCTAATAAGTATATCCATAGAGAATATATAGATCAATGTTTCTCAACCTTTCTTCACCCATTCTGTTTTGCTTGTGCCCCCCACCACGTGTCCTTACTGGGAAAAATAATACTATTTACACACACTGCTTATACTGAATAGACTTTGCTTTAATTCATAATAATTTTAATAATGTAGTTTGTAATATACAATTATATACAAAGTGTTACTTTTTTAAAAAAAAATATTTAGTAAACATTTAAAAACAGGTTGAACACAGTGTGACTTTTCTGGCTGTTATTTTGCCATACATACTATACCATATACCATATATCTTCCTAGTCATTGATACCATTTACATATTGCATTTTATACTATTTATATATTTATATATTTACATACATATTTACGTCTATTTATAACATAACTTCCATTTCCATTCTTATTTCATATTCTTTCTGATCTCTATCTTACGCTCACTTTGAGGTTGGAAATCTACACTTTCTCTCTTCTAGACGAGCTTTCTCTGTTCTGACTTTTTCTCCTCGAGTCTAACCAATAGTACATCTTATCCCAAACTTCGTAATACTCTGTTTCATCCTTGTCTTTAATTTCTAAGGATAATCTATCCATCTCTGCACATATCAAAAAAAATTTAATTAGTTCACTCTCCACCAGGGAATTTCCATTTTTCCAGTTCTGGGCATACACCAACCTTGCTGCTGTTATGATATGCAACACTAGATATGTCTCTCCTTTGTTAAACTTCCCATCTATCATTCCCAGTAAAAACAATTCTGGTCTGGAATCTATCTTCAGTCCCAACATTTCCTCCAGCCAAGTCTTTATTAGCCGCCAAAATTCTTTGGCTTTGGAACAAGTCCACCACATATGATAATAAGTGCCTAACACTTTCTTGCACTTCCAACTTTGTGGTGATATAACATTTTCTCATCTTTGTCAATCTTGTTGGGGAGAAGTGCCACCTGTAAAACATTTTGTACAGATTCTCTTTATATGAGGTAGCCAAAGTTAACTTTCTATTTCTTTCCCATAACATTTGCCATTTGTCTAAGTCAATATTATATCCGAAATTTTGGGCCCATATTATCATCACTTCTTTTACCTGCTCCTCTTCCATTTTATATTCCAATAAATATTTATATGTTCTTTTGATTGCTTTCTCCTCCGTTCCTAATAATATTTTATCTAGTGTTGTCAGATTCCTCCGTATATCCCATTCCTTTTTGTCTTTCTTATAATGTGACTGAACTTGCAGGTACGCCCACCATTCCAATTGTACCCCGTTTTCTTTTAATTCTTGTCTAGATTTAAGTTCCCCTTGTTCATTTAGAATATCTCTATACGTAACTACCAAAGTGTTACTTTTTAACATAATTTATTAGTCAATTAATGTGACTCTTAGGCTTAGTGAACAGATGCAAGCGGGGTTTTTTTTGTCAGTTTCCATTGCATTCACTACATCCAAGCAGTTGTGCATTTGTATTAACAAATAAATGATGCTACTGAAATCTGATTCTTTCAAATACAAATAGTCCTCAATTTATAATTGCAACTGGGACCCAGACTGCTGTTGCTAATTGATATGATTGTAAAATGTGACATCACGTAACAATGGCAATCCAGACAGTCCCATTGTTGTTGCAACCTAAGATGCACAGTAGTTAAGTGCAAAGTAGGAGGAGTCCTAGGTTAAGAGTACACGGATGTCACAGCAAAAGCTGCACATGCTCAGGAAGGCTGAAGAAGAATGGCACTGGGTACATGAATATGTGTGAACACCAGGAGGCTCAGGAAGGAGGGCACAAAGAGGGCAGGCATGGGGGTAGGGTCTAGGTCTAGGACAACTCAATGCGGCCAATTTGCCGCAGTACAACTTGATTCAGGACAATTCAACATTGCATTAATCGTTTCATTGAGGTACTTTTATTATTGGTGGCCACGTTTCTGTCAAAATTATTGTAACTCTTTTATTTTTTGGATCAACTTTGTTTTATTATTATTGGCCAATGTTCCGTCGAAATTAATTTGCTGAATTGTCCCACGGCAAGTTGTTGTGCGGTAAGTTGGCCATAGCGAGTTGTCCCATTCTGAGGGATGGGTGCAGGGGGGCTGGAGAAAGAAGGTTTGACTGCGTGCAAGTGCATGCAAGCACAGTGAGGCCCAGGGTGTGTGCAAGCACCAAGAGGACAGGGAAAGAGGGGAGGGGACATGTGTGAGCACAGAGCGGCCCAAGTAAGAGGGCATTTGTGGGTGGGTAATGTGAAGGTAGGTGCAGGAGAGCCAAGGAACAAGTGCAAGAAAAGGGGAAAGGAGGATATGATACATATGAGTGAAGAAAGTTGGGTGTGTGGGAAAGGGGAGATTTACCCAAGTGACTTGCAAGCTTCCCTGCCAGCTTCCCCATTGTGTTTGTTTATGGAAAGCAAGGAGGGAAGGTTGCAAATGATGACCGTAGGATACTGCAATCAGTTTTCCTGCATGTGCAGGGGGCTGGACTAGAAGACCTCCAAGGTTCTATTCTATTCCTTGCAAGCCAGTTGCCAAGCACTCAAATATTGTTCACATGACCGTGGAGGCATTGCAATGGCTGGAGTAATGGTAAGTTCTCTTGTTTAGCATGTTGTAATTTCAAACCATCAATGAATAAACAATCATAACTTGAAGACTACCTGTATGATATGGAAAATTTCAAGAAAAACAATTTTCCCTTTTCCCAAAGCTGTGGAAATTTTTTGAAAATTGCACCATTTAACCCAAATTAATGTTTGTCTTGTTTAAAACTTGGACACCTGTACCACTGTGTAGTTCTGGGTGTGTTTGTCTGCTTTAGTTGCATCTTCCTAGACAACCAGGTAGAAAACAAAAGGGGCTTATAAACCTCATGCCTCAACAGGCTATGTGTGTGAGTGAATGACCATAAAAGCCAAAAGCAGGCACATACAGTAGGTAACACCATTTCATATACAGGAGTGTCTTCAAGTCACAACCATTCATTCAGCAACTGTTTAAAGCTATGTAGGAACTGAACAAAGAGGCATATGACTAGTCCTCAAAGTTCTGGCTGTTGCACTGTTCCTGCAGTCATGTGAACAAAATTTGAGTACTTGGCAACTAGCTTGCATTAACAACGGGTTATAGCATCCCATGCTCGCATGATCACCATTTGCAATCTTGCTGCCAGATTCCCACAAGCAAGTCAAAAGATAAGCTAGCAGGAAAGGTTATAAGTCTCTTGGATAAATCTCTCCCTCCATCTTTCTTCACTTGCATACACCATGTCCTCCTTCCCCCTTCGATCAAACATGTTTTTTCCCCAGCCTCATGTGGCACTTGCAAGCAACCTGCATCCTCTTTCTCAGGTCTCCCTGAACTCACACACATCTCACAGTCTCTTTCTTGGCCTCTTTGTGTTCACACATACCCTCTTTTCTGGGCCTCCCTGAGTTCACACGCACCTTGAATCCTCCTTCCTGGACATTCTTACATTCAAATCAAAAGCAATTATTTGTTTTGAGCTGCATAAAAATGCAAAATTCAAAGATATTGGATAATATCTGCCAATTACACAAAAGGCAGTGTAAAAGTTTAAATATTCAGCACTCATCATCAAGCAATACGTAACAAAAAATAGGGGATATAAAATAATGACAAAGTTTCTGGCGAACAACAAAAATTGTTAAATTTCAATAGTTGTATCCTTTTTAAAACTAACCTTCTCTGGTTTTCCAAATCTTCTTGTGCTGGGCCATTCTGCACTTGTGGGGAAATTTGTGAATTTTGTCGAGGCAACGTTGGACCTGAGGAAAGTCAAGTTATATTTTATATTTTATTATAATATCATTTGTAAAGATGATCCATTTTTTGAAGAAAAAAAGTTCATCAAGTTTTGACTTTCTACTAATGCAGGGGTCTTCAAATTTGGCCCTTTTATGACTTGTTTACTTCAACTCCCAGAATTCCTCAGCCAGGCATGCTGGTTGAGGAATTTTGGGAGTTGAAGTACACAAGTCATAAAAGGGCCAAGTTTGAAGACCCCTGTACTAATGTGTTGTTTCTGATAATTTTAAATAAAACCATATTCAGCTCATCAAATTTGGTATCCCTATAAAACTGCCTTCTGTTTTGGGGCAAGCAAAGTTTGAAGTCAAGTATTCACCTAAATAAAATACTGGTAGAGGGGAGAAGGGGGTATGATTGCCAGAAGAATCAGTAATGATTTCTGAAGGCAAGTAAGGATGCACTGCTTTTATTAGTATCACAAAACTGAATAAAAGCCTGCATCCCTCCCCTTTACTAAAGGATGAAGTCCATGCCTCTACTGTACGTTTCATTCCAAGAAAAATACCACAATAAGCCAATCTTACAGGCACACAACAGATTTGCATTTTAAGTTATATACATCTATAGAAATTTAAATTTGCTGACCATTGTTTAAGAATCTAACTGGATGATACATAAAATGGAATATCGTATTTCATGCAATCGGTTTAAAATAAACAAATCACAATGCATGTTGGGACCATGCCATAGTCAAGATGGGAACTAAACAAAAATTGCCTCCAGAGATGCTAGTTATTCAGAACTTCCTAGACCTAATAGCATAAAAATATTTTAGATACCTTCACTACAGTAATTAGTCTGATCTGATACTGAATTCAGAACATTGGTCAATATCACTCAATACAGGATTTCTATATTTTAATAGACAGCCATGAAAGAAAAAGTTGCACTCTTAAAAAAGTTCTTAAAAGTTCTTCCTCTTAAAAAAGAGGGAAGGATGGTTTATATACACAATGTAGTTAAAAAGCAAAAGAATGAAAGAAGTTGTATTATATATTATCCAAGCCTAGGAAGACAGTTGAGATTAATATATTGAACAAAAAATCAACTAGTCAGTATCATTCACACATTCATCACTAGATATACAGACCAATCTTTCTGTCTAATCTTGCTGATATTTCTCTGTAGATGGCAAATATGAGAATACTTTAATGCTATATTTTAAACAATGATTTCTACCAAATAAGAAGCCTCTTTTTTAAACTGCATGAAACCTTTGAAGAGCCAAATATTTTTTCAACAAGGTGTTCTTTGTTTCATGAGACTAATAAATTTACAGATTTGAAAATTTAGAATGTTGAATAAAACCATCTGCTTTTCTTCAAACAATGGAAACATCTTTTACCTCATTCACTAGACTTGCAGGATTTTTATTATTTTAAAATTGAAGGCTGCCCCATGCTCAAGTTCACATGGATTTCAGGCAACATGTAAGTTAAGGCAATCTGAGACCTCCAAATTAATGAACTTAAACCATCAGCAGCTGCAGCTGCTGCAAGCAGTGGTATAAGATGCTAGAAATTATAGTGTAGGCATGTCAAATTCGCGACGTCACGTGACGTCGCGCAACAAATCGGAGCTTTTTCACCATTGCCGGCAATGGGATGGGTGCAGCTCCGGTATGATGAAACCGGCCCACGGGCCAGCAGTTTGACACCCCTGTTATAGTGGGTTCGCTATGGTGATTGCCTGATCTGTTATCTTATTCCCCTCCCAATTTTGAAGTTTTCTGTTAATTTCAAACTGTTTGGTAACTGTAATATTATTAGTATCTTCTTAGTTTACAGTTCTTTAAAGAGATAATGATCCAAAATCATGCCAACAGGAAAAATTCTTTTCCTGCTTCGGTCTCTTTTTGAAGAAAGAAAACAATAAGAAGCTGCAGCTGCACTTATTTATCTATTTATTTATTAAATTTATATACCGCCCTATCTCCCTTACGGGACTCAGGGCGGTGAACAGGCGATACTAAAAACCACAATAATAAATAAATAGTTTCTGTTCTAAAATCAAATTAAATAACTTAAGCAAGCTGAATCTGTATCTAAGTTAAAAGTCCCAGTCTCTAAGGAACTTCAAAAAGCTATTTTAACTCTAGATTTCTCTGAAGATTCAGAGACCCCAGAGAATCCATCTACTTTGGATGTGCTTGTAATTTTAAAACTGCTTTCTCATGATTTGAAGCAATTAAAAATTTATGTAGATGCTCTTAATATGTCTTTTGAGACATAGTTTCTTCCTCTCAGATAAGAATCTGCTGGAGCTTCAAGAAGCAGTAACTGGCTCTCATGAGTACTGATTAAATCAACCTGAATTTGCTGATAAGTAGTACATCAAAGTTTTTGGTGGGCTACAGAAAAGAAATAAGCTACCCAGAATGAATTGTCCTATTTACTGATTTCTGAAATAAAACTAATGTACATTTTTAATGTTCTTTATGATACCAAACCAAATCAGTCTTTAATATTTGTGGAGCCTAGATGATCATATCTACATACGTAATTACATTTTTCTAACTATAATTGTCTCCAATAAGGAAAGCGTAAAAAGGAGAAAGTAATAATTATGAAATTGTTGGGTTTATTATTTTCCTTATGTGGAATTGCATATAGAATATGGTACATAGTGTACATGAAACATCTCATTTTGGAAATATATACTTTCAGATTCAGGTATAAATTACAAACTGTCTATATCACCATTTAAAAGTTAAAACAGTTTATAATATAGATATGGGATACACAAACAGAAATTGATATAGAAATGATATAGAAATGAATAGTACCCTTACCAGAGTCTTGTGAATTTAACACTTCTAAGGCATGCATCATGGCACTTGCAAAGACATTGGCATCTTCTTTGCTGCCAAAGTTGAGACCATATACTTGTCTAGCATCCCGCCACTGATGAAAAGTCTGTGTTGCTTGATTGTATTTTAATCCTTTTGGAATGGCACAATTGATTACCACCTAAACAAGCAATGGAAAAGTTATGCCCTGATTGGGTTTATTATAATGCACACAATTTTACTCTCTTGTTCCAAAACAATTAAATGGATTTAGTTTTGCAGTTGAAAACTATAAAATAACACAATGATACTTAGTATACAATCTTCCAAATAATTGCTAAACATGAATATTTAACTATAATTACAAATAGGATGGGATAAATCATAAAAGACAAAGTCCATATGCTAAGGATAATAGAAAAAGTTCGCATCTGCATAAGATGCTGAAAGGATCCTAAACACAGATTTTCTTTGGATTTATTCATGATGGAGCTACCAGAAAGACTAATCACATAAAAGCATATTTTAGCATATAAAAAACTGAGTTACATTACAAAGTAAGGTATAAAGGTATAAAAATGCTTGTATGTAACCTTTTATGTCAAAAGTAGGTTGTGTATGTGTTAACTGTGATTTTTCAGGATGTTATCTGTACATGTATGCTCTGGGTCTGCCTGCTCATAAGTACAGTTTCATTTCCCACATCCATTTCCCTTCCACAGTAGGTCAGAAAAAAAGATTATTTGAAGATTGGCAGGTTGTATCAATAAAAGGACAGCACTAAAAATTGTAAATAAACAATATAATTGTTTTTCTATGATTGTGTCACATATCAGTAAACAACTTTTACATATGTATAAAGAGAATGATAAAAACATTATCCAAAAGTGTCTTCCGGAGTACTGGAAACATACATGGCCTGCACTTCAGAACTCTCATCTCTTGAAGAAATGGGTAAGGCATTCAGATACTGTTAACTGTTTAGTAACTCTTGAAAAGCAATGTTAGCTGTGCCCCATTACACAGCTCAACTGGATTAGTCAGCCACAAAAACAAAATTTGCAATAGCTACTCTCTGTTATTGTTGTTGTTGTTGAGTTCATTAAATTGGGATCTCCTTAAAAGTTTTGAATCTCTTTTCCCCAGTCTTTTCACACCAGTACCCATTGGCTTTAGAAAAAGGCAAGGAATAAGACACATTATTGATGACATATACTGAATGAATCAGCAGGACGCCTGGCCGCTTCACCATCCTCCCTCCCCGAGCCTCCAGCCTGGCAACCTCCATCTCGGCACCCTTCCCGATGCCACCCAGCACGGCCACCCTGGGGCTGCAGGGGCTGGCCTGGCACAGGAAGGGCATGCATGTGCCACCTGCCTGCTTCACCACCCTCCCTCCCTGAGCCTCTGGGGCTCCACCTGCCACCTCGGTGCCCTTCCTGCCACTACCCAGCACAGCCACCCAAGGCTGTGCTTGGAGCCTCTAGGAGCTGCAGGGATCCGTATGTGCCCTTTTCGCGCCACTGTTTTTGGCCCCGCGTCTGTGCGTGTGTTTGCCTCGCTGTTTTCGGCAGCGCTTTGGGGGGATAGTCTATCCCTATTCGCAGCATGGCTGCCGTCCAATCGCAGTGCCACCTCTCAGGAGGGCAGCATCAGCTGCCAATGCAGCGGCGGGGAAGATGGAAGGCAATCCCGCCCGCCAGATCAGTCTGGCAGGGATGGGCTGGAAAACTGAGTGATACGAAAAGGAGCCTCCAGGAGCTGCAGGGATCTGGGTGCGCCCTATGCAGTCGTGCTCCTACAACGCACAGCCTCTCCCTGTAAGCAATCTGGCTCGCTGAGGGTCAGGTTGGCCATCGCGGGAGGTTCATCCTGCATGTGCAGCAGAGCTGGAGGACGGGGACAGGTCACACCTCCCGCAACAGCTAACCTGATCCCAGGCGAGCCGGATTGCTTCAGCTGCAAGGAGCCTGCCCTAAAGTTTCCTGAAGCTGATAAGAACTGTGGCCCACCACAGCTGAACATTTAGCCAAGCTGCAAAATTGAACTCGCAACAACAGCAATGGCAGCAGGTAAGGCAGGGGGAGGCACACAATTTGGCCTGCCCAAAAAACTACGGTGCGACGGAGTGGGTGGGGTTAAGTAGGGCTTACTTTTTGGTGTAGGCCTTATATTAGCCCGAACCCCCAAAAATAAGCTAGGTCTTATTTTATGGCTAGGTCGTATTTTTAGAAAAACACGGTATGCAGAAATGCTTGAAGTAAATGGAATTGCAGCAACAGTAGGAAAACATCTCCTCTAGTGGTATATTGCGCCTGTGAACTAGATAAGCTGCAAGAGAACAATAGAAGAATTCTCATAATTAATCTGGAGGCTAACATGCTATACAAAGAGAAATACGTAAGCTAAGTAGCAGATAGATCAGTATGAGAATAGACAGTAAGAGCCTGTTATCTAGATAAGGGAATAAAATGATACCAAGGAAGCAGAGGAACAGAATGTATGTCATGCATTTAGAAAAAAACACCTCTTGCCTCAGAAATGACAAATAGTAAAACAAAAGATAGATAAATGGATCCGTTATTATGGATTACTATGGATCCATTACGATAAAGCAGCAAAAAACTAAAGATAAATACCATAGGTATATTAATGTATCATCCTGCAAGTCTATGGATATGAATCACATTTTCAAGAGGGAAAGGACAGATGTAGTTAATACTATCCTAAAAAATGAGAGGTAGGATGGTAATGGCAAGTTCAGTCCTGTATTTTAAAATACTAGAAAAGAAGATAAGTATGGTGTGACATGGGAGATGCCTTAGAAATGACAGGGTGATTTGGGGTGAGGTTAGCCCAGAAGATAGCATGATAACTCCATAAAATAAATGGCAGAAACCAACAGCCCACACTTTTTTAATTTAGGGGGAAAAAACCCAGGCTGTCCACGAATGATATGAGGGAATATCAAAATCAGAAACATAATCTGAAGCTTTAAGCTGGGGCCTACAATTCTTCTGTGGTAGGAACATAGGTAGTATGCATAATGATAGTATGCATATTCTGAAATACTGATGGCTTTTGATCAAGACCCATCTACACTGAGTTATGCACAGAACCAAAACCAGATTGTATGAGGTGAGGTGGTATGCAATGAGGGAAACTGGTATACCTGAGAAAACAGTGAACATAGCAGTGTCCCCAAATGGAACTCCCTTCCTTGTCCTATTGTACAGAGCCCAGAGCAATTAGGCAAGCAATCAGGCCCTTGTTCAGATCCATAATCTGCCATAGCAAATATAATTATATAAATTATTATAATATTAATTTTCAGAGTCTCTGATTTCCCCATGAAATAAATATAAAACTAAAATTGAACCTCACTAGCAATTCAATTCTGGAAACATACATCCTCTTACTTATGGAGGCAAGAATATTTTCAGTAAGATCTACAGTAATGAAATAACCCTGGGAGCATAAATAAATTATCAAAACAATTTTATTAATGGGAGGATGAAAAAAGTCTTTAAACAAAACAATGTGGTTTTTTTTAATCAAAAGGAACATTTCTAAGTAGAAGATGGAGACCAAAAAATACCTTGGATAAATCAATACATGAAATATTGGTCCCAACCAATCCTATAATATTCCTTATATTCTACTTTTCCAACACTCAGCCATTAACACTTACTTCAGTTAATATTATCTGATCAATATAACAAATTTTAATTGGTTTCCTATAATTAATATTTAGAAAACCTTAATGTCTGAATAGTACAATAAATTTCCCTTTCATCAGTTTTCTCCTTGCACTGGTTTTAATCAACTAAAAAGACAATGTTTATTATTTGTAAAAAAAAAAAAAAGATTATTAAATAACTCACCTGATGATCCTGAATCTTCCTGCCAACTACTCTGAATGTATTGTTGCCTGTATGATGATATATATGAACTCTGCTAAATCCAGTAGACCCACCAGCTGGTACCCACTTCTTATTGGCATCATCGTAGACCATTACAGCAGCTCGTGCTTGGCAGATGCTCTGCTCACTATTAAGGCAAAGAAAAATAAATGGGTAGAAAAGAGTACAAGCATAAATCTGAAATGTTTTCATGTAAATAACATCCTTTGACAAAGACTTTATTATAGCATTCAACTCAGCTCATCAAACTCAATTCTAGAATTTCTTTTATTTGATTGAAAAGAACTTATGTCATATTTGGTTAAATTTTGTGTCACATGATATAAATAGTTCTTTAAAGGGGAATATTTATTGGTCAGGGTTGACATGAGGGGTCCTTGGTGCTCTTTGAGCTTGCTTGTTTTCTTGCAGATGTTTAATTACCCAAACTAGGTAACATCATGATATTACCTAGTTTGGGTAATGAAACGTCTGCAATAAACTAAGCCAGTGGTTCTCAACCTTTTTAATGCCGCGACCCCAACCGGTCGAGGACTAAACCGGTCGTACGTCGAGCACTAAACCGGTCATAAGTCGAGGACTAAACCGGTCGTAAGTCGAAGACTTTCCCTGCCCGGGAGCGCCACGCATGCGTGGTTCCGCCCCCTGCGCCGGCCGAGGCATAGCTGGCAAGCGGCAGAGACGGAGCAGGCCGACCACCAGCTGGCCCAGCCCAAGGGAGGTAAGGCACCCGCCGGAAAAGGGGGAAAAAATGGCAGACAAAAAAAATGGCGGACAGCCTTGCTTGGCAACCCCCATGAAATGGTCGGTCGACCCCAAATGGGGTCCCGACCCATAGGTTGAGAACCACTGAACTAAGCAAACTCAGAGAGCACCAAGGACCTCTCAAAGAGTTCTTTATTTTGATAATTATATTATATTTTTCTTAGGGAAGAAACTTTTAAATAACCTATTTGTTCCTGAATACTTATTCTTCATGTTAATCCTATTTGACCATTACTTAGTCCACATAAGAATAACAAGTAATAAGGTTCACAGCCCTAATAGAAAATAATTATAAACCTCCTAATAGTTACTAGCCTTTAAAAATATAGATTTAGTCATAAAAAAAAGACTGGTAAGAAAACAAACCACAGGCTAAAAGTTTGCCATCATGATGGTTTCTTTACCCAAATGCCTATTTTTTTCCTTCTCCACTGCTTTAGTTGATATTTATTTTTCCTTCATTCTTCAGCAAAAGTTGGGGACAGAGAATCATGTACAATTTCCTTTTTTCTTCTGTATTAAATGTGGACATATCACATCAGCTTCAATTTTGGCCATCAACTTCTTTGGTCCAAAATGGTTTTGGCCCTTATGTGAGAGACAGTTAGCGACTGAAAATAACAGGCAAGGCTGAATACAGTACAAACAGCATACATACTTGCTTAATCAATTCAATACATTTCCATACATGCCAATATGGGACAAATGAAGTGACAACTTTGAAACACTATATGACTAGTGGACAACCCCACACCAGCTGTTAAATGCTTGAGCAGAGGGGTCAAGATGTCGCCATTTAATCAAAATAAGAAATTCAAATAGATGTATCATTAATTATATCTAAAATCAAAGGCTTCAATTATATTTTTCAGAACTACCCCTAAAACCTATATAAGCTCATTTTTTTTCTGAGCATCATAATCAAACTTTTTTTCTAGACAGATATTTTACTTCAAGAAGTCTGCCATTTGGTAAAGCATTACGATACTTTTACAGTATATCAGAAAACCCATGACCCTTGAGTCATCATTTCAGAGATATTTTTTTACCTAACAACCGTGCACCCCTGCACACTCCCCACCCCGTAGTGCCTTTTGCACACCTCTGCACTTCCTCCCCAATGAAGAGGTTGGAAAAAGTATGCAGGTGTGCATGGGAAACTGCAGGGGCGGGGAGGGCATGCAGGGGGAGGGTGTTGCAGGTCAGGAAAAGTGCACAGGGACATCAAGAGGTGTTAAGTGGGTCAGGAGGGTGCACGGGGGGGGGTGACACAGATCAGGAAGAGTACATGGAGGTGTATGAGTGGTCAACACAGTGCAAGCACAGAAGGACTAAGAAGGTTGCCTGGGTTGGGGAAACGTATCCAAGCAACTTGTAACCTTTCCTGCTGCTTCCCCATTTCTGACACTCCCTGCAAGCTTCCAACAATCAAAGACTTTGCTTGTGGGAAGTTGTCAGGGAGCGCTGGAAATGACTACAGCTGACTATGGCAGCACTGAAGCAGCCACAACTTTCCCAAATTTCATTCTGACAGGAATAATGGGTCCTGGCATTCTGTAATTTAACCTATTTGAGGTACCTTGGTTCAAAAATTGTTGCCCTACAATGCACCATTTCGCCCAATTAAAGGTTACAAACAGACACAAGAGTTTTAGTAGTATATAGATCAGTTTTTATTCATTTATTTATTAAACTCAAATATAACTCCAGAAACAAATTTTCATGAATTTAAGATAGTGTAAACAAAATGTTGACTCAAATCTAGAAAATAAATAACAGTGTACTAAGCCAAGAAACTATACCACATCCCTCTTCATTTTTAATATAAACTGCCCATTCAAGTTCTATTCTTCTACAAGGAAAGCTTACTACTATGACTTAGAGGCATAATAAAATATGAACCAGAAAGATTAGAAACAACGTCTACTTAGTTCAGCCTCAAAGAAACTTCAAGGACATCTGTTGTGAATGAAACAAACTAGCTTATGGTATTTGATACAGTTTCCCACCTGTTATTTGCTTAGCTTTTTTTTTACTCTTAACAGTTTGACTTCCAGATCAATAAAAATCTGGCTTTTAAAAATAAAAGGCTTTTAAAAAGAGTTAGGTCATGCCATCCTTAAAGGGCACTGAAACCCAGTCATTTACACACATCTTATTTAAAAACAACTATAAACAGCTTTCTACCTGCTCTTTAAAATTTATGTAACTGAGATACAGATTTCTACTTTGGAAGTTAGTTTTTAGTTAGTTAGAATATAATCGTGCATTTCTCTGCTTAGGAAGGAAGCTCCATTCAGTTAAACAGGATTATTTTTATTTTATTTATTTGTATCCCGCCTTTATTATTTTTACAACTAACTCAAGGCAGCAAACATATCCAACACACCTTCCTCCTTCTATTTTCCTCACAACCCTGTGAGAATGATTGGCCCAAAGTCACCCAATTGGCATCTAAACCATTATAAATTTATCCAAAGCATCCATTATCAGTAAATACATATGAAGCAGCCTTATTTAATAATTAGATGGCACCAAAAGTGACTATTGTTAATATTGACAGTGTTCACTATATCTGGTGTGAACTTTCAACAATCATCTAAGTCTTGCCCAGGATGTTCTGTCCCAACCAGGCCTTCCAACAATATACCCACTATTCATCATTATATACTGGTCTATAATACATAATGCTCAAGATTTTTATTAAATTAGCTTTTCTGGAACTTATGGTAATTGAATATATTGTCCATAGTAAACCTGTCTATGGAAATTCTTAGTCATCCAGGTCATGGTTGTCCCAAAGGTGCTTTTTTCACAAGGCAACTGGACTTCCTTGTTTTTCTTTTCATCCAAGAAGCTTCTTCAGCTTTGACTGGATGGTGGAGAATGGCAGGATTTATACTCCTTGCAGACAGCTGGTCATTTGCATTCTTTTAGAGAGTTGTTGAGGCCATTTGGAGGTTTATCTCTGTCCTCAGGGTCACCTGAGGGCAGCCGTCATTTTTCTTAAATTTCTTAAAGAAATTTCTAATTTCTTTAAACAATTTTAACTATTTCGATTAAAACAAAATAATGATAAACCATCAGTCCAATGCAGCACCATTTGGGCAGTATGATTTTACCTGTCCTCAAATGCATTTTACAGTTCTCCAAAAATAAAGAAGGGCTAGTTTGAGTATCCAGAGTAAGCTATGCCATGTAAGGGAGACATTGCTGAGAAAATTCTAACCCAGAGTCATTTAAGATAGCATTTCTTTACTGGTAGAATCCACAACAAAGTCTCACTCCCAGATCTTACTGAAAGGGCAGACTCAACTATGCGAAGGCACTTACATTATTTCTCTACCTGCCTTGACAAAGTTGAATCTACCCATCCATGATAAGTAGCATCTTAATTGTACTTGGAAACAGTTTCTGTAGTAGAGTATTACAAGAGGAAACAGGCTGCTGCATATTGCACCCACTGAAGCTTCCAGACGATTTCAAGGGCAGCACCCTACAACAATCCAGCAGAAAGGGCATGGGTGACAACAATTAAAGCCACCTGATACAGGAAAGGCTTGAAGCTAGTATAGATGTGATTATGCAAAAGCCTTCACTGCAATAGGAGACAATGTCTATCAATCTGTATTTCTACACATTCCTAATCTCTCCAACCCAGGATCTGCTTTCACCAAGGTCATATAAGGGGAGATTTTTCCAGAACTAGTATTCTGGATGGAATGATAGTCTAATATCACCGCATATGAAGTTTCATGACACCAATACCAGCCCATCCACACTGCTCGGAGTCTTGCTGGATTATAGTGGCATAGAAACTCCAGTAAATACTTTATCCAATTCACTACCAACTTCTCCAGTCCAATTAGCTCACCACCTCCAATTAGCTCACAACCTTCCATTCTGTACTTTTTCTTTCCAACAAACAAATCTACTTCCTCAGGCAATCAGATACCACTGTACTCTAATGCCCCTTCTAATTAACTGCTCAGTTCTTGCCTCAGTTCTGGAAAACAGGGAGCCCTCCACTTAATTCCCCATTTAACACTTTGCTGGATGTGTCTTCTGAGGGAGCCAAGCAGCTGCTTGTTGACAAGTCACACATGCCAGGTTCTATGGTCTCCTAACAAATGTTTTTGAAGAACTTCAGTATTTAACAGCTGCTGTATAATAAATTGCCAGCAGTGGTAGCAGCAGCAGTTCCCACACAGCCTCACCCATGAGTCTGAACCTCCTCTTCACTAATGTCAGCAACTTTTTTTTATTTTTTCCTTAACACCATCCCTTCTTTATTCTGCACAGGCAATGATGCAGGAGGTCACTGATTTCTACTGATTTCTTTAGACCTTTTGCCCCAT